GCAGGGGAGCCAATGAGCAGCAGCAGCAGCAGGGGCGCTAGGAGCAGCAGCAGCGTTCAGCTGTACGTACACCTCAGGCAAACAAAGGCCTCCTCTCCCCCACTCTTTTCGTTTCCGAAAACTTCGGAGTTTTTTCCAAAGGCACTGTAATGCTCGGGTCTTCATACCGCCCCGCCTGCGGTGTACAGACACCCCAGCAGCAGCAGCAGCAGCAGCAACAGCAGCAGCAGCAGAAGCAGCAGAAGCAGATTCGAGTTTTGCTGTCTCTTTCTCTAGCAGGACTGCTGACACAGCACATGCGCATCATGAGGCGAAGCAGCAGAAGCGAAAGCAGGGGCGACTGCAGCGGCAGCAGCAGCAGCAGCAGCAGCAGCGGCAGCAATACCTCCTGCTGCATTCGAAGTTCTTCTTGCTTCCTCCTGCTGCGGCGAACGCCAAAGAACTGCATATGGCCGTCAGCCCCTCTCTGCACTTTTGGGATCTGCTGCGCGTCGCAGCGCTCTATCACGCTGTCGGGACGCCTGCAGCAGCAGCAGCAGCAGCAGCAGCAGCAGTGTTAGGAGCAGCAGCAACAGTGCTAGGGGCAGCAGCAGCAGCGGCAGTAATCAAGAACTTGCAACTGCATTCCTAGGGGCTAGCAGCTGCGGTAGCACAGGCCTCAACTCTGGAAGTTACAGACCCGATTAACAGCAGCAGCAGCAGCAGCAGCAAGAACAGTAGCAGCAGCAGCAGCAAAAATAGCAGCAGCAGCAGCAGCAAAACCAGCAGCAGCAGCAGCAAGACCTGTGCGTACCTGGGGAGTTTGTGGGACTTGCGAATGATGCCTCTCTTCTGGAGCTCCGCGAGTTTCTTCTCCGCCTTCATTCTAAGAGCAGCAGCAGCAACAATAGCGGCAGCAGCAGCAGCGATAACCCAAAGCGCAGCAGCAACATCGATAGAAACAGCAGCAGCACTGGTATTCCGAGCAGCAGCAGAAGCAAGGGCTGCTCGTCGCCATCCAAATGAACTCTCTTCCCGTTGGCACAACTGCTGCTGTGACTGCTGCTGCTCCTGCTGTTGCTGCTGCTGCTGCTGCTG